TATATATATATATATATATATATATATATATATATATATATATATATATTCAGTTTTTGTGTGTGACAGAATTCTGAATATCTGTGAAAAAAATGAGCTTTAACATTATATTATTCTGGACATACCTCCAAATGGCCACTAGAGAGCAGTAGTGAAGCTTACTGAACCTTTGAGTTCAGATATTTGATGTCTAAAGGCAGGCATAGTACCCAAAATTTGAACCCACTATAAGACTAGCACTATCTTATTTTTATCCAAGTACAAGTGAAAAGGAGCAATCCAAGAAATTCTTGTGTAAGTAAGTGTAAAATGTAATTGATAAAAAGTCCACTGACCTACCTATTACTAATGATCACAGCATCTGGTTTTAGAAATGTAAAATGTAAATATGAAATGTAAAAATAATGTAAAGTAACACCATATATAAATGTATATGCATACTCTTGTGTTTAAAAGAAAGAGATACAAGAAACAAAGCATTACGCAATAACATTTTGGTGTAAGAAACGCTTTTCAAAATGTATTTTTTTCATATATATGTTGGTTATTAAACCAGTATAGGGTAACCTAATAGGGTAAGTTACCTACAGAAACAAGTTAGAGTAAACCATGTCCTGTTTTTACTTCATTTCCAAATGACAGCAACATCAGCAGATAGAAAATAAAATACGTTTAAAAAAAAAAGCTAGAAAACAGCAAAGAAATTTTACCTAAACAAGTCTCTCTGGAGCCTTTATGTTTAAAACCTGCTTTTTCTCTGTGTGACATGATGGGTAGAGTAGCCAGACATTTTATGTAAGTAAGAATAGAGATACTTCATCATATTTTTACTCAAGTACATAAAGTATAATTCAGTAAAACTTCTTCTAAAAGTACTAAAAAAGTCACAAAAGTAAACGCAACTGACTACATGTTACTAGTTATTATGCACTTTAATCCGTGTGCATTAAGGCAGCCTATTGATTATTCTCTCACAAACATTACATTCATTTCATCACTTATTGCTCAGGAGACAGAGGTTTGCTCATTCCACTGTTGAATTAATTTGGCCTTGAAATGTTTACTTCTATCATTTAATCGTATCTATTAATCTTGCAGGAGCTGAAGGCCCACATTCTGCCTCTAACGAATGTTGCCTTTGACAAATCTGGAGCAAGGTGAGAAATACTGCTGCAGTTAGCTGTAATGGCTACGTTTGATACAACCCTATTTACAAAACGTGATGCTTAACGTAGGAGGATGAATGTATTTCTTGTTCATACCTGCCAATAATCTCAGTCATTTCTTAACCTGTTAACTAATGACACCTAAATCACCAAAAAATAATTTAGAAATGTCTGAAAAAAGCAAAAAAATGATAATTTAGCAGCTGTTTTTTACTCTTGGGAGGGTTTAGCCTGAAATATCAATGTAATGGTGGACAGAGGGGCTGAAACAATCCGAATAATTGTGATTAATCAATTATTGAAATAATCGTCAATTAATCCAGTAATCAATTAATCGTTGACAGGAGTTTAGAGACTCTACAACGTACCTTTAGCTAACAGAGCAGCCCACTTTGAGCAGCAATTATACCAAAATAAAAAAAAGTAAACATTTTGAATTTAAGATGACCTGTTAAATCTTTTACTATGAATACTATGAATATGCTCTATCCAGAACTCCTCAAGCAGAAAAGTTTTAGTTTCTCCTGGTTTATTTTTAAAAAGTCTTCTTTAAGGAACCTTTTGCTATCCGATTATTAATCTATTAATTAAAAAAATAATTGACAGATTAATACATTTGCAAAATAATCGTTAGTTGCAGCCCTAGTGGACTTTATGTGGCAGCATGAAGCTGCAAATTTGAAGGTACCACATACATCAGAAGGGACTATTAAGAGAGTCGGGCAACCATTTATCTGTCCAACAGACCCTTTGGAAATCCTTTAAAAGAGCTGAAGTCCCAAGCCAAGAATGATGATAAAATAATAAAACAATAATAATAATAAAAACTATTTCAAACTGTGCTATTGTATTTCTTGTCATAATGTTGTAGATTAAGGCTCTACCATATGTATCTTTTTACAATTCAGTGCCAGTAATAACTCTAACCTCTCCTACCATATTGTTGTTGTAACTCTTCTCTATCTCATTCTGTAGGTTCATAACTGGGAGTTATGACAGGACATGCAGAGTGTGGGACACTGCCTCTGGCAGAGAGCTGCATACACTCGAGGGTCACAGAAACGTAGTTTACGCAATCGCATTCAACAATCCCTATGGGTAACGAGCTGTTTCCTCGCATATGAGAATTCTGATGCTCTGTTGAACATTCAAAACAAAACTTACATCTCCCGCTGCCTTTCCCCTTCATTAAATCTAGAGACAAGATTGCCACAGGCTCTTTCGATAAGACCTGCAAACTGTGGTGTGCAGAGACTGGCAAATGCTTTCATACTTTCCATGGACACAGGGCTGAAATAGTAGGTATTTTAAACTTGGCTCAGTCACCTACTGACAGTTTTTAAATGGGTTTGATCAGGAAGCACGGTAAAATTTGTATTTTTTTTTTTTACTAATTTTGGCAGAGAATTGCTATTTACTTGGAAGAAAATGGAATCAAATTTGGTCCAAAAAAGAGAAACAATAGCCACAGTTGGGGATGCCAAGGAGAAAATCATCCATGCTCGCCAAAAATGTTGGCTTCAAAATTCTTTTAACATCTTTTTCTTAACTAGGTGCCTCAACAAAATATTTATACACTTATACTGTTTTCAAATGTTGTCAGGTAGCAACCACCATTCTGTGTTTTCTTTTTATTGACATCTCATATAACAGAAATGGTCAAGGAGGATGGATTCTTTATATTTGAGCCCCGTAGAGTTGTTTGAGCATTAGTCATCAGACCCTATAAACTGCTTGGTGTATTGAGAAAGCATGACCTTATTTGAACTGACAGTTTTAAAGGAATAGTACACCCAAAACATGATTAGCCTTCATTTTCTACTCACCCCCACGGTGAACAACACTGTGGAGTACTTTTTTGATATCTCAAATGCATCTGGAGATCTGGGAGGCTTCTTGCTGTCTGCTGACATTCAAATAATGGAGGTCTATGGTGCCCGAGGCAGAAAGGTCCATAAAAGTCCACAAAAAACGTGTCAATATTCCTCCATACTGCTCGTCCAATGTATTCCAAGTGTCCTGAGTGGGTAGCATCCATAATTTACTCGAAACGAAGTAATTTAGAATGTTTTTAGAGCATAAACAGTAGTGTATAGGATTTCCTAAAAGCGCGCGCCTGCAAGTTCACGAGTCTACGGAAACCACGGCAGACCAAACCAGATGAAAGTGCGCATTCAGCTCGGCAAAGAACTCATGCTCTTCCTCAACACTGAAGTCCTCAGACATTTTTCTTTCGTTGTTTCTTTCTTTGCACAGGTAAACAGCACATTTCTTCTTCTACGCTTGCATTATCAAGAGCAGACGCTGAATGCGCACTTTCATCTGGTTTGGTCTGCCGCGGTTTCCATAGACTCGTGAACTCGCAGGCGCGCGCTTTCAGGAAATCCTATACACTACTGTTTATGCTCTAAAAACATTCTAAATGACTTCGTTTCGAGTAAATTCTGGATGCTACCCACTCAGGACACTTGGAATACATTGGACGAGCAGTATGGAGGAATATTGACACGTTTTTTGTGGACTTTTATGGACCTTTCTGTCTCGGGCACCATAGACCTCCATTATTTGAATGTCAGCAGACAGCAAGAAGCCTCCCAGATCTCCAGATGCATTTGAGATATCAAAAAAGTACTCCAGAGTGTTGTTCAGCATGGGGGTGAGTAGAAAATGAAGGCTAATCATGTTTTGGGTGTACTATTCCTTTAAGTTTCAGTAGGGCTAAAAAATCATTACAACGTAACAAACAGCTGCTTCTACATTCTGCTTTAGATATTTAAATAGCAAAATATTTAAAGAGCAAATACATGTCTTAAGTTTGGTCACAGAAATTAAAACACCAAAGTGTAAAAGAAAGAATTTGTTGTGTAGGTGTGCCTGGCATTCAACCCTCAGAGCACGCTGGTGGCCACGGGCAGCATGGATGCCACTGCAAAGCTATGGGATGTGGAAAGTGGGGAGGAGGTGGCCACACTGAGTGTGAGTTATTTGCTCAGTACTAATTCCTTAACCTGCATTTATTGTAAGCAGATCACATGTTTTTAAATAGTTATAAAAACTTTGGGTGGTTTAACTAAAGCTTCACAATAATATACTAATAAACCAACCCTTTTGGTGGTCACAATGTGATTTGGGAGAATGAAAAGAAGAATTAAATCAATGGGAAGAGATGTTCTTTCCCTCTCTTCCTTCCAGGGCCACACAGCCGAGGTCCTCTCTTTGTGCTTCAACACCGTCGGCAATCATCTTGTCACTGGCTCCTTTGACTACACAGTTGCTATATGGGATGTTGCATCCAAAAGGTCAGCCTTTATTGTTGTTGCTGTGTAGGCATCCAGCTTTAATGAGTCATCACTTGTGGACATGTTCTGGAACAATGAACCCTGATGTTTTTCCTGATTTTTCTTTTGATTTTCTTTGTCGTAGGCGTGTTCACACTCTGACAGGTCACATGGGAGAAATAAGTAATGTTCAGTTTAACTGGGATTGCTCACTCATAGTCTCTGGTTCGAGTGACAAAACCTGTAAGGTAAGTAGAGGAACAATTTTGCTTTTCAGCAGATTTTTGAAGCCAGAATAAAATGATACCAGATACTTTTTACATATCACACTATTTCTAGAGGCCCTTCCGGTATTTATTGAAGTTTCAAAGTTGCAGCATTTAATTGAGAAATCATTAAATTCAATTCAATTCACTTTATTTATATAGCGCCAATTCACAACACAAGTCATCTCAAGGCCCTTTACAATTCAACCAGATCAAACAGTCAAATTTATTCAAAGTTTTCCATCTAAGGAAAAGCAGTTGATTGCATCTACCCGTTGACTTGACGGCAATCCCTCACACCAAGAATTCTTGTAGCGACAGTGGAGAGGAAAAACTCCCTTTTAACAGGAAGAAACCTCCAGCAGAACCAACTGGTGTTCAAGGAGACAGAAGCAGAGATACAGAAGTCAAAATCCTTATTGAAACCCAGTTGAATACATTGAATCCTGTCTTTATTTAACATGAATAAGAAAATAAAACCAGCGTAAATAGTTAACAGCAGCCTGTTTATATGCACCTGTTGTTGCATGACAGAATAAAAAAGAAAAATAGAAAAAGTTGACATAATTCTTGCTTTGGCTTTGGAATATCTGTAAGAACTCAGAAATGGGGACCCAGAATTCAGGCAAGAGAGGCAGTGGAAAAACTTAAAGCATTTACTGAAACAAGCTGGTCTGTGGTAGCATCGGCTAGGGTGTCTATAACAGGAAAGTCTGGTTTGACAGTTCAGTCCGTGCCCAGAGGACGAGGATGATTACAGCCGGTTGGCTGACAAGACGCTGCGGACACTGCCAGAGATTTCCAGACGCGGAAGACTAGAAGGCTGCAGAGCTGACAGGAGAATCCAACAGGAGTCCAAAGACAGGCCAGGCAAACAGATCAGACAGGGACAGGCAGGCTCAAAGGTCCAAATAGAGAAACGGATCAGGATCAGACCATCAGAACACTAAATGCTAGAGAACTCTCAACACCAAAGGCTTAAGAATAATCTGGCACTGATGGCTGGTACCAAGGAGTTTAAATAGTAGCAGGAGCAGGTGGATCAGATGAGCAGTGACGGGAAACAGGGCAAAGCTAGACAGGTGAATAAAAGGAGCAATCAAGCCAGCCATCAGCACCAAAATCATGACAATATCTTTAATACGTAAATAATATTTAAAATAATAATTATGATAATGTAGTATTTAAAGCCTTTTTCAGAAATAGGGCTGGTAAATATATAAAATAAAAATGAATGACCTTTCATTTAAATGGGGTTGCATGGCTGGACTTTCTTCATGTTTAATTTTACTTCTCTTTTTTCTGTCATTGCCCATAGAAATGCTAAGTATGTTGTAATGATGTCCATGTGTCTGTAGTTGTGGGAGGTTGTCAGTGGGAAGTGTGTGGCCACCCTAGTCGGACACACGGAGGAGGTGTTGGATGCGAGTTTTGATTTAAGCGGTCAGCTTATTGCTACAGCTTCTGCTGATGGTGAGACTGTAGAATGGCTGTTTAGCTTTTGAACTATATCATGCACACTTGAATTTTTGAAGAGATTATATTTCCCTCAAAACCAGCCTTGTTATACATGTAAAAATATTAAATGTTTGTTAACCAGGAAATAAGTGGTCACTGTCTTTGTCAGGTACAGCAAAAGTATTCAGTGCAACTACACATGAGTGTCTGGTGACAATGAAGGGCCATGCAGGGGAAATCTCCAAGGTATGCTGGTGTTTAGTCAATTGATTTCACTTCTTAGTTTGTTGCAGTATAAGGTTTTCATTTGCTTTGTTTTTTTTTCCTGCAGATTATTTAAAAAATATCTAAAAATAAATGACAGTATGTTTATGCTAAAATGTCTGAGTGGGGCACAGATTGTAGATTTCAGTTCAAGCAGTCAGATGACAAAATGACAGCATGTTAAAACAAGAACAACAAAATAATGAACAAAAAAAGACACAGAATGTGGTTTTTCAATTTTTTTTAAGAAGACAGCTAAATAAATATTAAGTAAAATCACAGCTTGATGTAGTTACATCCAGATAGTTTTGGGCGTTTCTCTCTACCGGATTTACACAACGACAAACCTTTCATTTTTACATCATTTCGATTCCTTAAACATCCTGAACTTAGTCTGATCAGACGGGGAACTCCTTTTAACCAATTAATTAAACTTTTGCTGCAAAATCCCTTTTGGATAGAGGTTTTGCTGCTCTTACATGCTTTGAGTGGAACCATTCCATTGCAGCCACCGCTCTATGTTTTGGGATAAGGACTCATCAAAGGCTTTTTGGTTACTCATCATTTCCAAGAGGATCATAATTTAGTTAGTGCTTAGTCCTGCTGATAGCTGACCATTCACCCATGTCTCAAAGCTTTTACTACTTTCAACAAAGTTTCTTCCAGGATTACCCTGTAGGTATTCACTACCACTCATCTTCTCATCAACAAACCAACTTTCTTGTTCATGGTTAAGATAAGCGTTCCTACAATATGATCATGCCACCACTGTGTTTTATCACAGGGGACAGCGTAAACGGTGTAAACACCTTATCCATGTTTGCTGTTTCCATTTATTATATCAGGAAGGAATTCATCAAAGAGAAGGAAATAAGGACTCATCAAAGGTTTTTTTGGTTATTCATCATTTCCAAGAGGATCATAATTGAGTCAGTGCTTAGGTAACCATTAAAATAATGATACAAAAAAACGTTATTTTAACTTATCTGGAAAGTCAAAAGGACATTACCAGCTGCAGTAATGTTTGGATGATTTTATTTATTTAGTTATTTATTCAATCTTTTTTTTTAATAGATCTTCAAATTAGAAAGTTTCCTTGGTAACCTTGGTAAATGGGATAAATTGTGATGCTTATGTGGAGAGACAGTAGCCCAGGCTTCAGGAGGTCTGATTGTCAGTCTGACCTTTTACTGTCAGTCTTAAAACTTTAAGCCCAGTTGTTACGCTGTGCCTTGAAATGTTATTCCTGGCATAAAGCAAAAAAGAAAACCTGGAGTGACACAGCTCTGTGAACTCCAGCAAACGTAGGCTTTTGTACAACTTGTTATTCCTCTGGCTCTGCATTGAATCTGTCCTTAAAGATGAGTGATATTTTACATTTGCTGTTGATGAACTAATTTTCTTCTGGGTCCTACTCAGATGGGTCCTCTGCATGTGTTTACTGCATCGCAGACGAGCAGCAAAAAACAAACAAACCGCAGCATGGAGGATAATTTCAGAGGATTATGAGACTAATCTGTTTTTGCAGGACCCATCTCCCCCTCCCCAACATGCGCATTAACCGTTTTTCCCTCTACTCAAACATCTTGCCCTTAATATATTTTAGTCTCTTGATGCTCTAATTTACCTTGCAACCCTTGACTATTTTTCATTTAAATGGGTAATGATAGCCTTGTAATGAATTGGAACTGCTGCTAATCATCAAAATATGAGCTTGAACTGCAGAATATGCAGCAGCTTCTGTGGGATTTGATTGTAGCTGTTTATCTAGGGAATCCTCCCCATCTTGGACAACCCATTAGCTTTCGTCCTATGATCCAGCTTAGACCAAAGTGCATCCTAAAGAGACACATATCAATGATACAGGGCTTCATGTTTAATGATTCTGAAGCTACAGCAAAGCAAATTATACACAAAATGCCTCTATACACAATAAGCTTTATTCTTATCATTTATACATTCATGTATTTTATTTTTTCTTATACAAAAAGAACACAAAACAGTATCATGTTTTTTTTTTCTGCAAAAAAGAAACAAAATGAGCCTCATTTTAAAGACAAATGTATGAGCCTGAGAACATAACTCTCATCCATCCAGTCTTAAATTTTTAGTTCTCAGTCCCTATCTGTCCTTTGGGGTCAGTTTGGAGTTTTTATTCCACATGCACTTTACCTTAATAGCCTATTAGATCCCAATTATTTAATAATCTATTTATTTACCCCTCAGGTGCCATATGAGACGATTTGATGAATCATAATCCCTTTGCTAGAATTATTATGAGTAGTGCCCCAGATTAACTCATTGATGTTGATGCTGCAGACACAAACCTCTGAGTGATGCTAACCTCTCCTTGTAGATCTGCTTCAGCCCTCAGGGAAGCAGGGTCCTCACAGCAAGCTTTGACAAGACAGCCCGTCTGTGGGACGTTCAGTCCGGAGAGTGCCTTCAAGTCCTAGAGGGACACACTGACGAGATCTTCTCCTGTGCCTTCAACTACGAGGGAGACACTATCATTACAGGTAACCAAAGACACACAAAACATCTCTCTACCTCATGTTGACCAAGACAAACCTGAAATCCTTTAGCGGTGAATAAAATCTTCGATGCTGTTCATTATCAGAGATTCATTGCAAACATTAGATAAAAAAAAAAAAAAAAACACCTAGCTGAGTTCTTCATTGCAACCATCTGTTTATATCTGTGCTTCTCTGCAGGCAGCAAGGATAACACATGTCGGATCTGGTGCTGACCCTTCCTCGAACGAATCAGACGATCAGATCGGCATATAGTAATGAGTACAGCAATCAAGTTTGGATTACCATCCCCATAACACATTTGAAAAAAAAAATATTAAAAGTTTTTGTTTTTGTTATGTTAATCTTATTTGCTTGCCAATCTGTGCAAATAGGAGTTTGGAAATTCAGTTTTGGCATCTATTTTTTAAACAAGTATGAATTAACATTTTTATACCAATGCAACAATTTATTGCTGAGGTAAAATTAGCTATTCCCCTGTCAATTTAAAGATTTTAACAAATGGATGACCTGCTCTTAACAGTTTCTTAAACTATTTAAATACAGCTTACACAATGCAGATTTCAATTATTGATGAAACCATAATAAAGTTAAGGCAAGAGCGTTGAAGAAAACTACATCACAGAACAAAGAACCCCTGGAATTTACAGGTGTACAAAGACTGACTCGACTAAATCATCTAGATAAATGATTTTCTCCTATGTGTTTCTAAAGAATTAAATAATTACTGGTTGTTATGGTGACAGTATACACAGTACATTTAATGTTCTTTCTGGGATGTAAATATTAGGCACAGTAATATTTACATAACAGACAGCTAGTAATAACCAGCAGAGATGGGAAGTAACGAAGTACAAATACTTCGTTACTGTACTCAAGTAGATTTTTCTGATATTTTTACTTTACTTTACTACTTATTTTTATGGCGACTTTTTACTTCTACTCCTTACATTTTTACACAAATATCTGTACTTTCTACTCCTTACATTTTAAAAAATTGGCTCGTTACTTTAGTTTTGAATCATTTCAATGGAGTTACCGTTATTATTTTTCACGTCATCAATACCAAATTCAATCTAATTGGATGGGAATCTACGCTGCATTTGACGCACCACTACAAGATGAATCGACAGATTCAGCGGTATTCATTCATGGCAAATCATTGCAGCTTGGTGGCGGTGGCGTTAGCATAGTAGTATGGACGACGAGATGATTGAAAATGAACACAACGGAGATCTAGTCCTATTGGCAGACACCCATTTAAAATATAGGCAACGGCATGAAAAAAGTGGTTTCTACTTTTACTTTTATACTTTAAGTAAATTTACAAGCCTGTACTTTGTTACTTTTACTTGAGTAAAGAAGTTTAATCAGTACTTCCACTTTTACCAGAGTATTTTTTAACACAAGTATCTGTACTTTTACCAAGTACAGAAAGTGAGTACTTTTGCCATCTCTGATAACCAGACAGCATTAATGTATAGAAAAGGTCAACAGCATATAATATGGAAAGAAAACCTATATGCCATCTGTCAGGTATTGTGGAAAAGTATGACCGCTTGAAAATGATCAAATTATGACAAGCAAAAAAAGTAACCAAGTGTGGCTAGTAGCTGACCTACTGGAAAGAATTACATCCCTGATTTTTCCTTCTAATGTTGGTCCTTTGATTTTAGAATTTATTATTTACAGCAATGTGAAATCCAATTGCATGTGCTAGCCTAGCCACCTCCTGGCTAGGACCATGCACAATCCTTTACCCGCTCCCGAAAGAGAACTCCTATTAAATGCGTGCGAGAAGCGTGCACAAGCCCATTTTTCCTTGTGCACGCTCTGTTTAAAAGTTGCTGTCTGCATCGCTCATACAAGCTTACTTTCCAAAAGAAGATTTGCAATTTTTCCACTATGTCAGACTCACCACCGTTAAGTGAAAATGGGGATGAGCACGAAGGACGGCCTTACGTAAACGTGTCACCAGAATGATTGACAATTAGGAGGACCACTTACTTTGATGATCCACCCAAAAAATAACATCCTCCACTATACCTTTAACTAATAAAATGTACTAACCCAATAGCTCTACAGTGGTTGTTGCTTATGTACAAATTTGGCTTAATTTGGGGAAAATGGCTCTGTAATACACTACTTGTTTTGAATCTGAAGCTGTATACATTAAACTTGAATATTATAATCTTAGTGTATGAATATTTAGGCAGAGGGTGTACTTCTTTTTACAAAAAAGTATTGTATATAATCGCAGCTCTGCACATTTGTTTGTCCAGTCCAAATTAATGTTTGAATACATAGCTCCTTTACTTCCAATGTCCTCTTCCAAGGCATCATATTCTAGTATAATAAACTAAAGTAGTAAAACTTTTTTATGGGCTTACCTTCAACACTTTGCACCTTTATCACTTTTTCCCCTCTTACTTCACAACTTAAACGTATATGATCATATGCAGCAATCCAAACAGACAGCTTCTTAAAATGACTTTTTAGAGTTTTCTCTCCTTATAAAGACTGGCTGTCATGGTTTTGGTTATATTGTGCTTTACTTTGCTCTATGTTTCCTAGTTTATTGGTTTCATTCCTTTTGTTGTATTTTCTAGATTTGTTAGTTCTCATATTTTTCTGTTGTCCTCTGTAGCCCTGTGTGTGTGTTTGTTCCTTTCCCCTTGGCTCCCTCGTTGTCTCCTCTCACACCTGTTCCTTGTCAGCTCGTTAGCCCTCCCTCTGTCTATGTCAGCTATTTATGCTCTCCCTCTGCTCTCACTCTTTGTTGGTTCCTCTGTTGTTGCTGATCCTGTCGTCGCCGTTGTCCTCTTACCTCGTCTCTCCCTGGCTCCTTGAGCATGTTTCCCTTGATTTTCCGTGGTTCTGGTCTGTTACATTTTAGTTGGATTTTTGGACTGCCTTTGTTAAACAATTTATTCATTAAATCTACAAGTATTCACCTCAGCCTCTCTGCCTCTGCATTTGGGTCCTCCAAACCTCCACCAACACGTGACACTGGCATTGACCATTCACTAGAAACTGTCAATTTAGCATTCTTATATAAGCCATAAGAAGCCTATTAACAAGAATTAACTGTGTGCAATGAAATGACATATTTCAATAATATAATCATTTGTGATGCACCATACCCTTAAAGTCGAGGGGAAATCATGTTTAAATGTCAAATCATTCTGGCTTAAACATGTATATAAATCTACTCTTTATCAGTATTTTTATCCTGTCTTAAAATCTATGGGTGTTTTTTTTAGTGTTTTTATGCAGGCCAGTTAGTTCTGCATCAGCTTGTACACCTAAATTCGGCCAATCATATATCAACGGTAATCTGTCAATCAAATTTTTTTGGTCATAGCATCTTGATTCATATGTCGCAGCTAATATACGCAATGGTTGAAATAAGAATAATTTACTTTACCATTGAGTTACAGTACGTCTCAGTGTTCACAGGGATGGACGTCTGTGTCTTCGGCAGGCGTAGAGCTAACAGAACTGGCAGAGTTGTGAGCCAAGGGCTCAAACATGTACGGCTGTAAGCCTTCTACACCAAACCAAGCTTCTGCTGCCCTGGTGTCCTCTTCCACAACTTCGTCCCCACTTTCCTCCTCTAAATAAAATATGTATGACGGAGGAGACTCATCCACGACCTCAGACACAAAACTCTCCTCCTGCAGTTTTCCGCTGTCCATAGCGTTCCTTGACAGTGTCGTTTCTAAGTCACCAATTTAGTGCTACTGTCTCTACGGTCTCAATGTAATTTCCTATTTGGAACCTTCTAGCACTAAGTTGCTAGAAAGATGCTTCTGAGAGACCGGCTACAATCTAACCCTAACTTGCTTGCGAACCTTCCGCCACAACAATCACACCCTCTTGATAAACAACCAATAAAATTCACTTTATTCGAAGTCGTGCACCACTCGGTAGAATTCGGAAATGCAACAATTGGAACAGCCACTTCCCCACGACTTAAAAGGCATACCATGTAATAGCTTGTGCATACCTTTTGGCCACTAGGGGCACTAGATCAGCAACTGCCCGTATTTTGCTTCTACTAAACATTGAAAATACGATAATAACAAAGATATGTGACTACAACTAGGAGCAAAGTGTTAACTTAACAGTCTAATAATAAATTTGAGAAAAGAGAATCTTTCAGCCCACGCCAACAAACAAAATCCTTTCCAGAATTGACTCTTGTTTTGCCTCGTACACAATCCCTTTCACATTTTCTCTTTCTAGCCTCCTCAGAAGGTTTAAAGTTTTTCCTTTCCTCAAACATGACCAGTAGTCGAAAAGGAGTGAAAATAGTAGAGGAAAAGCCTTAGCTCCATGACAATATAAGAGCCTGCGGCCGTAAAGCGATACGTTCGTCCAGGTCACATGACCTGGCCAAAATCGATGCGTCTTCTCCTAACTTACATAGTCAGCGTTTCAAGAGGCTCATAGCATTGATGGGGTCAAGTGCTGTATATTGAACTGAGGAATCATTTTAAATAACTAATTTCTAGCAACTCTTTAGGTCAAAAAGTCAGCAGTGTGCCTTTAACCTCTGCTTACAAACAAAAACATGGAATGTCAATAATTTCTCCAACAGCTTTTCTTTTTCACAGCACATAAATTTATTGATGTCAAAAGATAAATACATTCAGTTCTACTGTGACAGTTTACAGCTGAATTGTGTGCTTTTTTTTTTTTAAATCCCCCAAATGTTGATGTTTCACTTTACTTTTTTACCACTAAGTAGAGAAGTAGACGAGCAAATTCACATACAAATTCAACATTACAAACCTCACTTGGTCTTTTGGACATATTAAAAGCTATAGAGAGCAGTCCACTACTCCAAGGTGCAACGGTTCCAAATCTACAGTATTTACAGTACAACTATCCAAAATAAATAGATCTCAGGTAACAAGAAGATAAACAACATACTGACCCAGAAATGAATTTCAAAGTTACTACAGTTATTGATGATTGTTCAATTGGTCATGAAACAAAACAAAGATGTGGATGATTTGCTTGCCAACGAGCATTTAGCCACATCAGAATGGAAATGGAAGCTACTTTTATCATATTTCTTATAATACATGATGTTTGTATGTCTTTATGAGTCATTAAAGCCTGCTGACTTTAAATAACATGAAAGTTGGCTCCCATTAGGAATGTTCAACCAAATATACAGCTGGTATTGTTTGATTTAAGGTTGTAGGCAACACACATGAGGGATGGGATGGAAAACAAAATCACGTTTAAGTTAAAGGGAATCTTGTCAAATTCAACCTGTAAATTGGCAAAGCATCTTGGAGCCAGACGAGACCTCAGATTTCAAGGCCATAGCATAACAAAGCTGTTAAAGAGACCCAGAGATAAGCCGGAATAGGTGAACTATTTATTCTGGCTCAAACTCGTTGCAGATTAGCTCTGGTGGGACGTCTTAATCTGTGTGCAGCAAGAGAAGGTAAGTTTGCCTTAAATGGTTTCCAATAGCCAGTCAAAAAGGCTGACTTGAAGAGATCTGCCCTCTTCTTCGGTCTCGTGTTGTGTATAGAACTGAGCCACGGCCTTAAACAAGTCTGCAATCCTCCATGCCTTCTGAGCCATTAGGTGGACCACCCTCTGGAACTAATCATGTTCAAAGAGTGAAAAACACTTGGTTATTTCTTGTGTGTTTGAATTTATTCCAACTGATATAGATGAATTGTTTAATGCTTACAAACCATCTGCTCTGTTCCATTTTCACCTACCTTTGTCATCCTATTCTCCTTTGATCTTCTGAAGTAGAGAACAGGAAGTCCCAAATCAGAGGCAGCGATCCACTGCAGAGCCACTCTCAGCTCTGAGTCCTCACATTCTTGCTCGATGTCACAGTTCACCACTAAAAGCTGTCTGAGGTTACTGCTGCTGCCTGTAGCACCTCCTGAAGAGCCATCTAAAAGAAAAAAAATGAAAAGGAAAGGAGCATAGTGTATTAGTGGTCATCAATACCCAGCATGTAATAATACCATAAGGACTATGTTGGTGGATAAATTTGGTTTTAAGTATTAACAAAACAGTGCATGCAGCTTCACACAGTAAATTACACTAAGCTCAGTTTTACCTAAAGTAAATAAAGATGATCTTAGACCTCTGCATCAATTGTGAGTTGATAAAACCGATGAAAATGTGTTATTTAAAGGGGTCATATAATGATTATATTTGGTATTTGGTGCTGTGTAACATTGGTTGGGCTGAAAATGGCATATTTGCTGTTCTATGAGCCCTGAAGCAAGCCTGGTTATAAGCCCTAAAATGAAAAGATGTTTTTTTCCTTTTATGGTATGCTCATGCATATTTAGATGAGCTGGCGCTGATTGGTTGGTTTACAACGAGCAAAGCTGCTCACCACTACTCTGCGAAGATTCTTATTTTAACTGTTATTAGCCGCGACATATGAATCAAGATGCTATGATCAAAAAAAAATTGACTGACAGATGACTGTTGATATATGATTGCCCGAATTTAGGTGTTCAGGCTGACATATAACTAATTGGCCTGCATAAGATAATGAAAAACCCCCCCACAAATTTTAAGACAGGATTTTTTTTTTAAATAGAAATTTTCTAAATTTTAGGACAATGTCGTCTGATAAAGAGTACATTTATATACATGTTTAACCCAGAATGATTTCACATTTAAACTTTATTTCCCTACGACTTTAAATACAGTTAAGCACAAATATATTTTTGCGCCTAGGACTTTAGGGGTTTCAGGGATTAACCTATTCCGACAAGAGAACAGTTATAATTCAGTCAATACAGTCAATCCTGTAAATTCAGGATTTTTGGTTTTGTGCGAGTTTGCTTGTGTGTAAATTTCAAATTATGAGCCAAACACCCAAACAATGCTGATTCTCTAAGTGTTTCAGCAGCAGATTTCAACGTTCGGCTACTAGGCTGAAAATGAGCTGCAAAGTGGTGTGGACCTGCAGTAGCCAGTGCTGTGGCTTCATAGCAAGAAGGTCCAATGAGTGAAACTCTGACTTAAAGCTCTAATATAAATTCTTAACTGCCTTTATCATTTTAAGAAAAGTAGAACTTTGTCTGGCAGGTGTTTCCAGGCACTGATATGCTAAAATATTGCTGTAATAATGTGAGCAAACTCTTATTTTATTGGAATACCTATGTCTACCAACTGAATTAGGCATTAGTTGGAATCATGCAGAGTGGAAGAAGAAACTAAAGACATTTGAGGAAACTAGGTATTTCAAGACGTTGTTTTCATAGCATTAAAAACAAAGACAACTCATACCTAAAATGTTGACCTTGGCTTCCTCCAGGTGGCCTTTCTTTGTCTCCTCACTGTGAACAGATATGAAAATTAAAAGTTATAATAATCTTGAGTATTTGAAAGGTATGCAGTGGATTTTCTCAAATGGGATCGTTTGTATCTTTGAGAGTCAGTAAAATTGCAAAGAAAAAAGTTGCTGCGTTATTTCTACAATCCAAATGCAATATTTCTATGATCCAAATGCAAATATTATGCGGTTAGAACAGAAGATAATTAGTTATTACCGAGCACTGTTGAAGAATACTTTGGAGCAAAAAGCAGAGAGGACTTACATTACTCATGAGAGACTGCAAATTTGAACTTGAAAACAAGAGATTTCTGAACCTTTTCCATTAAATGAAACAATTTATTTTGAGATGGTATTATTTATTTTTTTCCCCACTGGATGTTATCTATATGAAGAATTAGCCTTTAAAAAAATTAAACAATCATGTTACCCCCAAAGTTCTTGGTTCCCTTACTGGTGGCATCAAAGGAATCTTGTATGTTGTATTTCACTATATGAGACCCTAATATCAAACATTGGAGGTACATTGGCCTGGTTTGTAAACCAGTTATTAAAGACATTGACTGACTGCCATCGGTGCTTTGAAGGTGGTCTTCTTCAACGTTAGACAATATTCATTTTTAGTTAGCTTTTAAAACCTTATCTGTATGCTTCATCCAGCTCAAATCCCAACCCTGTTGAGGTAATTCAGCAGTTTCTAGAGTCTAACAGTTTAAGAGATTAGAAAATGTTTGCCATCCGTGGCACAAAAATCCATTTTTATATTATTTATTTTTTACTTTGCAAAATAAAATAAAAAAATCAAAAGACATGCTTTACCTAAGGGCCAGGGGGTGACAACATACAGCAATAATAATAAACAAATTATATTAATATTTTATTCCAACAAGACATTTTGTCACCATACATATGGTATTGATATCTTAATGAGTGGACCATGAGAAACATGCACCTTCTGGTGACTATGACAAACCTGATAATGGTGCTTTGAGAGGGAACTTCAGAAAAAGCATCCAGGTCAGCTAAGCCGAGGCTAGATGCACTGCTGGTCCCGTTTCTGCAATCAGGAAATTAGAAATGCTGGTAAACAAGTAGGAGACTAACTTAGCACAGTGATGCACATTGTGTTTCTGTTAGCTGGTGATCAACTTTGGTGACAGCTGTTGAGGAACTGGAGGCCAAAGCTGAGGGGGGAGCTGGTGAATTTGTCTTGCGGCGGGTTCCTTTGAATATGGGGATGGGGAGATCTGGAGATAGTTTAGGTGGGTAGGGTGGACAGGCAAGGCTGGCAGCCATGCCCTTGTGTCACTACATGGATTAGGGATGAAGTGGAGTTTGAATAAGCAGATAAATGGAGAGCTAGCAGGAAGCAGCGGTTATTATGGTTGTTTATTAGAAACATTTTACTGCTACGATGAACGTGAAGAGAAATATAGCTTATTTTCTTTTTTTGTGTCTTATATAGGTTTATATCAGGGAACTACAGGGTTACTAAAAAGTAAACTTTAGAAATTATGTTAAAAAAGTAAGGCTCATGATACATTAAAGTTTGATCTATTTCAACCATTTATAATCTCTTCTATGATTATCAGTTACAGCTAACAAAAATCCTACATTCTGTTTCTCTGAAAGAATGCAACATAAGATGAATAAAAATGATTATCAAAACAGAAATAGTATAAAGTGCATGAACTGAAAGGTCAGAGCTCCTTTTGTATAAATGACTGCATCATTGTGGTGTGGAAATTTGTTGTTTAGGTTGCAGTGTTAAGCTTCTTGAAATTTGTCCTTCAGATCATTATTGTTGCTCATTTTACTCCCATCTTCTTCTTAGCAATACTTTGAGTGTCAGATGGCTCAGTTTACTCATCAGTCAAGCAGAGAGATATTAGGTGAAAAAAAAAACAATGAACTGACACCAGCAGCAGACAAGACTGGTCAAGTCATCATTACAGAAACTACACCTTAAGCATATTTGCCTGGGAGAATCGCTCTACATCCGGCTTTCAAAAGAAAAACAATAGTTGTAGCCAACCTCCTGTATACATCGCTGTGTGGCGTCTCTTAGAGCAATATTTCAACTGCGTGCCTACTAAGACTGCCTCAAAATCTATACAAGGACCTTATCCTTGCTGCTGCTTTTGCACCATTTTCAAACACAATATCTTTCCACTTAGTTTTCCACTATGATACTTGGATACAGCACCCTGGCAACAGCTAACATTTTTAGTAGTGACTTTTGTGGCTTAGCCTTCCTATGGAGGATGTAAATTAATATTCGCTGGACAAAAGTCCAGTGAGAGCTCTTTGCCATGGTTTTGTAGGCCAAGATATTTCTGAATTAGAATTCCATTTCTATTGCACTTTTTTTCTGAGAAACAGAATATTTAGAAGCCAAACTCATCAAAATGAAAATAGTCATATGTCTACCTATAAGCTTTCTTATATGTACATGTTTTTATCTCTGCCACACTCCGATTTTTCACTGTGGTGCAATAAAAAAAACCCTCTTTATTTAATTCTTAATAAACATCTGATATAGGTTTACTGGTGTGTTACACAATGTATAAAGTATAAGTTTCAAAAAAAATTTACAAAATAGTAAAAATAACATACTTGATAAGATAATCTTATTTTATTTCCTTTATAAAAGTACAAGTAGAAGCCTTTTTAATTTTCCTAATATTTTTGCCAATATTGTGGTATATTAGCTGTTTTTTTTATTATATTTTTAAAGCAAATCAGGTTATGCTCTACTTTGAACTTGTTTCAAGTCTAATATCTTTCTAGAGGCATTTTGAAGGATAGAATGGTCTAGTTTATTATGGACTATAACAATGAGCTCCTAGGTACACTTAGCTTTTGCTGCTGTGGTTAACAATAGCAGCAGGAAGTTAGTTGGGTTGGCAGGAAAGGACACGAGTGTCAGAAGCAATGGGCCAATGAGAGTGGAGTGTGGGTGGGAAGAGCAGTAGCAGCGTCTGGAGCGGGATTGAGGCGCAATAGTTACTGACCCCTCACTCAGCTGGATAAAACTACTGGTCTCCTCGTGGGGGTCATCTTCAGGAGTTACATGAGACCAGCTCCCCATGCTCTCTTCACTGCTAGCACTCATTGAGCGCTTGTCCCTCTTCACTACTGCAGCCACCGCCACAGCTGGTCTGTCCCTTTCACTGCTGGGGAGAGCACACCGCAACATGGTGGGAGTGACCAGCTACTGGTTGAGCACAATGACTGCTACAAAATCTTTAGAAACTCTGAATGATGTTCTCAAATCCTTCCGTTCACAGTTGGTATGCTGGATTTCTCAAAAACTACAAAGCATTTTAACAGGCCACAATAGGTTAATTCCACCAAATCTGCATAACACTCATTAACTTATTATAAGCAGAAAGTCTTTAGAAAATAAAACCATGATGCGCAACATGAATGCAAAGCTAATTTATTTCAGTGTCTTCTGTGCATTAGAAAACATCCTTTCTCGTGGGAACTTGTGTGTTTCTTAGCTTCTTTTTTTTTGCTTGCAAACTTATTAAATTAAGCCATAATTAGATCTTTGAAGGTTGTCATCCTCAACAGTTCTTGAGGGAAATCAGTTTAATTGAACAGGCGAGTGATTGAGTTCCTCTCCCACATAAGGGAATAACAGTTGCACTCCACTTGTTTCAGGATTGCATGTATTGTGAAGTGAACAGAAGCATGACTCTCTTGAGACCTGTAAGACTGTCAGCTTTTCATTTACTGTTGAGAATTACTCATTTTGAGTATATAATCATTACTGAAGTACACAATATCATATTTTGGGATTAAATAGTATTACTTGTGTAGATAAATGGCAAAAATATTATTTGTCTTACATGTTAAACTATTGTCTATTGTCTACTGTATAAATTGAAGGAAAATAACACTAACCGTGTTGCATTCTGTTTCTAATGATTTGTTTCCCCCCAAATGTCAAGAATATTCAACCAAATCAATGTAATTCATATTTCATCTCTAAATTTTTATAACAGACATCTTATTTTTTATCATAGTAATACATTACATTATAAGTTTACTTTAAATCCTGTAGTCAACATTCCGTTCTTAAATCTGGGTGGGACACTTAATGTTTTCATTAAGGATTTCACAATGTAAACTAGCCTTACAAGTTGTTATTGTCTTACATTAATGAAAATATATTTCTGCTTTTGCCTATAAGGCAAACTACGGTGGAGACTTCCCTATTCTTTGCAACGAAATTCTTTAAGAATATCTTAATCTGGTGCAAAAGAAAGCTGTTTTTGCCAGCAGTATTATGGTTTTAGGCGGGACATTTCACTGTGATTTTTTTCTCCACAAAAAAAGTTTTGTGTTCCATAACTCATTTACTTTTTTTTAATTATGTAGCTGTCAGTCTGCTTTTTTTTGCTGTACCCTTTAGCTTTTTATAAAGCATCTGTAAAATATACCATAATTTAATATTTACATTGCAAGTTTTTACTGAAATGAATGGCTTCATTGAAGAGACCGGGGTCTTAAAATTTCTATGTCTTACATTATCAGCTGGTATCTGGGTGGTTTAAAATGTAGAATAATGTTTTCCTCTGAGGCAAAGCCCTTGTGATTGCTTTCCAATTAAAGCGTATGATGAAAACATGAAACATGATAACAATTATACTCTGAGCGCTTTATCTATGTAGTAAAGAAATTGTCTAAAAATAGGATATTTTACACATTTATAAGTTGTAGCTGAAATCCTTCCAGTGTTGACTGGAGAGAAAAAAAAAAGTCTGACCTTAGTCACAAAGTCATGGCATACAAAGAATATCTTGATATGTTCTTAGAAAGATGTGGAAAAAATGCTATATTGGACATATTGGTTTACCATAATGTAAAACACAACTATAACAACTTAGAATATATTCAGGTCATACATAAAAATACATAATAATGAAATTAACAATAATAATAGTAATAATAAGGGCTATGAATAATGGTGTTTAACTTTACGAATATTTAAATGTATCTACAGATTTTTGTTTAAATAAAGTGTCACTTTGTCCAAGTCTTTGTTTAAGTAACTATGACCTCTCATAGTTAAAAAATTAACAAAAACCAGTAACATTTAATTTTTGCTGCATTACAGAGTACAGCATTTATATTGTAAAAACATTGTACAGTACAGTATTTTATTTGTTTATTTTCTGAACTCTTTCCCCTATTCTGTTATTTTTATACACTTTTTTAAGGTCCACATTTGTGGGACCACTTTTGATATCATCTTTTTGCTCCTGAGGCACAACAATGTCCCCATTGTGAGACAATAAAGGGATTTTCTATTCTATTCTAAAAAAATTAATATCACTATCTTTCAAAATGTCTTGTTAAAACATCTGTTTGGTTTGCTTTAGACATGTAAGAACAATAGTACAAACTCCCCCTTGATTCATTCTTTTTAGGTCTGTTTGGGTATTATAAATACCTCTTTGTTGCGTCTTCAATGTGGTATCCAAGAGTGACACTTATTAAAGGGAGTTTGAATGGACAAAAGGGGAAGAGACAAAAAAGCCTTCTCCACATAGCGCATCAAACAAACAGCATGAGTGACGTTTTGTATTTTAAGTCAAAGGTTTTGTTAAACCTCACATTCTGTTGAAATTGATTAGCTTTGTGTGTCAATACTTCCCTTTTGTGCCAGCCAGTCTTTGATTAAACTCTAGCAATAGCATTGTTGTGCTCTATTACTTCTTAGGAGGCGTTTAAATGTTTATTTTTCAACCCACCCATGTAATCTTTTCTGATGTATTGTATTGACAGACAATTCTGGTGAATAAATAAAAAAAATATGTCTGTTTTAACATGAAATGAGCCTCTACAGGGCTGTGATTTGTGTAACAATACCTGCTGCTACTGGCAATAGATATCTCCACCCGCATGGCATCTACAGATGCTTCCTGTGGTCCTTCTCCTGTCCTTTCAACAGTTGAAAGAGTCTCTTCCACCCTCTGATCTCCCTCAATGTGGATGAGTGGCACATCTCTTGGACTCCTGGGACAGGCTGTGTTACTATCAAAACTTCCAGACCCAATGGCAGCACAAGCTTGCTCCTGGCTGGACCTATTTCGACTGCATGTCAGATGGGACTGTTTAAAGCCTCTCCTCCTCTCAACAACAGGTGTGTGTGACTGCATGTGTGACCCAGCCATTGTCCCAGCCATGTCAAGCTGTCCTCCTAAAGCAGACTTGCCAATGTCAACAATGTCAGCTGCCAGTCGATTGGCAAATTGCTGCACATGAGGCTGCAAGTCTCCTGAAGCTTCCAACTCAATACTGTCCTCTGGATCAGCAATGATCTTGTTCTTTCTCATTAAGGACTCAATAGAGCTTGACCAGGTCTCATGGATCAGCATGTCAGTAATCTGATCAGTCTTACCCCTTTGATAAAGGCAGGAATCTGACTTGCACAATCCTGTTGCTGATACCGAATTGGTGGGAAAGATATTAAGAGTGTCTCCGTACACATTACGTGCAAATCCATCAAAGGAGTTGGCTTTAATGGGTGAGTTGACTGTCAATCGGGAGTCTGAGGAGCGTCGGTCAGGTACAGAAGATTGCCGTATACAGAAGGGAGTTCTAGGAGTAGGAGGGAAAAGGCTGTTGCTCCACTCTTTAGTTTTGGCAATTCCATAGTCTTTGTTCTCTTTGTCCATGTCCCGAAGCATGAAGCGGTAGAATTCCTCTGTTATGCTCTCCGTGCTAGACTGTTTAGAGAGGCAGGAAGATGCCCTGACATTAAGGTGACCATTTTTCTTTGTTGCAGCCTGCTGAACGGCTGCAGCCAGGATGTTGCTTGCATTCTTTCCTGCGTAGTAATCCAGCAACAGGTCAAAGCCTCTGCCCTCAGTCTCCATTTGGTTTACCATAAACCGTGAGAACTCATCTGTGATGCTCTCACAACTGGACTGCTTAGAAATGGAGCTGCCACGGCTTAAGTTCTGACCTAAGCGACAGCCTGGGCCAAGAGTATTGGGTGCGCCTGTAGGGTCTGTGTCTTCTTCTGGAATGCTCTCATAACTAGATGCCTTTACACGACTCCACTTTTCACACTGTAGCCTGCTGCGCTGCTGGCCTGGCTTGGAGGTATCAATCACGTTGAGTTCAGGGCAATTCATGATTCTCGCTGTGACTTCAGAGGCAAAGAGGGCGAATGGGTCCTGCGGCTCATCAAGGTTGACCGATTCATCCACCACGCGGTTTACCAGCCTCTCCATTAGTTCTGGTTGCTCCTCTGTTTTTCTCTTAATTTCACTAAGCCGTGGTGCTCTATGTTTTCTAGAGGCAGCATTGCTGCTTTGAGACTCCTTTCTCCTTAAAACTGTGCGGCAGGCTGGCATCAAATAGGTCTCTGCTACTTCTGATGATGTTCCATTAAGAGCACAAAACCAAGGCTGTTTCCCAGAGGAGTTTTCCAGACAAATGGCTGCCAGTTCTGTAGCCATTGATACGACTGTGGCAGCCAAATCCTCAGCATAGCAACTGATAGGTGCCCTAAAGTCAGAGTCCCCTCTTACAGAGAGAAGAGAGCCACATGAGTTGAGAGATGACTGTGAGATTAAAGAAGGGTGTTTGCCATCACTGCCCATCATTAATCTGCCCCTCCTCTCTGTGCTGTGAACTTGTATTTCAGTTGAAGGTTCTCTGATGGCACCGTTGTTTTGCTGCAGATCAGGCAAGTCTTTAAGTTTAGGCTGACTTTGTCTGCGTTGGGATTGCAACAGTTGTTCTTTAAAGTTTGCCTTGGAGGGAGAAGCCATTACATCCTCAAGGTCATGGCCCTGTTTCTGCTTTAGTTCAGGAATCATGGAAAACCTCTCTGTGCAGTGGAACATACCACTCAGGTTCTCGCTATTAGTAGAGTGAGTATTACCAACTAAGGTTTTTAATTGATTTAATGGATCCTTATTCTCCTTTGCATCAATAGGCTTCTGAGAGCAAATCTCGGGTGTTTCCTCTGACCCTTCGTCACCCATGGATATATGACTGATCTTTTTCTGGGTCAAGAAGAGGATTTCAAATAACAAGTTGTTTACACTGTCCTGAAGAAATACCTGGAGGCTGGGAGAATCTTTTCCAGCACCCTCCAGTTCCTTTTTTTTTTTTGCCTTCTCTAAAGCATGTTTGAACAGGCTGTCAGCAACCTCGTTTATTAGGTCATCCACCTCACTTTCCTCCAAGCAGCATTTTTTTGGACATGTAATGCCATCCACTATTTTGTTGTGTGTGGTTTCCAGCAAGTGTGCTACACTATTGTAGCCTTGTGGTTGAGTCAGGACTTCTGCTGCTTCCCTATGCAAAACCTCAGCAATATTAGCTCGAAATGCTTCCACACTTGTACCCGCTGCCACATTGCAGTGCAGTGGGAAGGCTGTGGAGGCCTTGGCTGCAGACATTAGACCATGGGAAGCCGTGTAGACCTCGGTTGAATCTGCATCAGATTCAAAACTTGCTACTGGAACTTCAGCTAGATCCACTGCTGCAACTGCTCCAGCTACTTGAGCTATGCTACCCATAGCCGAGGAGACAGAATAGTCACTTTTTTTCTTTACTTCCTGCGACTCCTCCTCTTTTAACTCAACTGAAGCAGTTTCAAGAGTAACCTTTTCGGTCAGTTGTGGTGAAGAAATGGTTCCAATAATAGTGGCTGCACAGGCCAAAGCTAACTCAACATGTTCATGTCCATCACTGTGTTGAGGAGCCTCAGCCTGGGTGCCAGTCTCAGTCATTTCCTGTGCTTTGACAGGGTTGCTTTGATCATGCAGGTTTGGTGTTTGCATCTCTGACCAATCTGCAGCTCCATCAGAATTGTCTGGGCTCTGGACTATCACAATTTTGGGTAGTTCAAAAGAGCAGGTACGCTGCTGTGAAGGCTGTAAGGTCTTTGAAGGTCTGTTGGAAGTAGAGAGGGACACACTAATCGCTGCCTCAGGGACAAAGGAAGTTTCATCTTGAGAAAGTCGTATGAAGGCATCTTGCAATACCGACTCAGCTAGATTGGTTGCGTAGTGGCCAGCTGATTCTTTTGTATGAAGACTTGCGCTGGGAAGCCCCTCCTTTTTTATGTCACTATCATCCTGGCTTTGATGACGAGCCAGCTGTCCCCTGTGACATGCATGTCTGACAGAGTGTTTCTGTGCAGCCTCGACTGAGCTGTGCCCCATGTCACCACTCTCTGGTTCTGTGAGGAGACATGGGTAAAGATGGGGAATGAAGAATGTTCAAAGTGTCCGGAGTGATCAAAAATGAACTCAGTTAGCTAAAAGCTACTACAAAAACAATATAAACTTCTTTTTGCCCATGGATGATGTTCCTCCCATTTGTAACAGCTTTAAAGATGATCTCATTCTCTTTTATTTATTATTCATGGTCATAACACAATGTCCTACCAAAAAGAGAAAATGAAAATTACCATTTTTTAAGGCATCATCTTCACTGTCCTCCCCGAGCTGTTCTGATGCTGTTTGGAAGTCCTCTTCAATAGATGAGATTGAACGATTGGTGTCATCATCAACCCTCTGTCCAGGAGCTCGGCCCTGCTGAAACTGTTGATCTTTCCCCCACTGCAGTCCAATCAGAAACTTGTTGATCTCAAAGATGATGCTGGCAGGAGTGGTATAGAGCCTCTTTCCCGAAGATGGAAGCAAACACGCACCTGTGCGCTGTCTGCCCTGAAAGGACGAACACAAGACAGATATCTAGAAATGTACATTATATTCTACATGCCTGCATAAAAACAAACTAGGAGTTAATTTTAATCCAAGCTCAGTTGTAAAGAAAAAAAAAAAGGTAAAATGACTGATGTGCCAAGTTCTTAGTTTTCTACAGAAATCTTATACTAGGTTAATGATTAATGCATGTCACACCGTTTACTGACCTTAACAGTTTCTACTATACATTAGGTAAGTAAAAATTATTCAAAGGGGATTTACTAGGGACCACTAAAGAGGAAGGGAAAATTTACTTATGGTGTTACACGTTGATGTGAATGTTTTTGTCAGAATTTTTTTTCGTTTCTATTAAAAAAAAAAACTAATGCAAGACCAAATATGTTCTATACCTTAAAATACAATGGTTTGGAAGGGCTGACAAACCTTGCAATATATTTTCATTGTAACCTGGTGGTTATCAGACTATAACCTCTGGATTCCAAGCACAATGCCCCAATCCACCACTCAGTCACGTGACAAATTCTCATTGATTAAAGTTCGTAAATGATATCCTATTATTTGCATTTGTTTAGTGAACAATTAGTCGGATAATCACCAACCACAGTTTGTTCTCAACCAACAGATACATTTTATCTTTGATTTAAAAAAATATACACTTAAATGTCTCATCTACACTAGTAAAATATACAGTGGCTGCCAATGATGCAAAGAGTGACAAAGCCACAAAAATTTTTTATATAAAATAAAAATAAATAAATAAAAAGCGCAGAAAAGTTCAATGTTCTTGTGTAAATTAAGGGCTGTTTAAATTAGTACTTTTTTGGGTGACTGGATGAACATCTAAAGGCTCAGGTGTGACCAGAGAGTCTTAAAATTTTGTTGATAAGTCAAGCATAGACTAGATGGACGGGTTACAAAGACAATGCCTCCTTTGAGCAATTGCACATGGTTACATAAAAGCATTTTAAACAAGTTCTACAATCTGTTGCCTTTTTAGCTTTGCATTATATCCATTTATTAAAAAAAAGAGAATATATAGTATTACATAAGATAAAGACTGATATTTATAATTAATTACAAAAAACACAAAATAAACAACACAGCAAGTATTGATGCCAAAGGAGGTAAAAATCTAAGCACACTAAATTGCTACATAAGGGAACAAACAGTAAACTGCTTTTTTATTTGTGATTATTACAGAGAATGAAGAAAAACTGCAAGATGTGTGTCAAATTTACCTGCAGGGGGGAGTGTGGGTGTGTTTGGCATTGTTCTGAGGTTCCCAGGCCTCCAAGCAGCAGGATCTCATTTTCTTTGGGCTGACGGACGGTCAGTAATTCAACAAGCCTTGGCAAGTCTGGAGACACTGATGCCAGTTTCTACAAGACACACGCCAACCACAGAGTCAATGCTTAATGATGGGGAAAAAAAGTTCTTATGAAACTTTAGAACTAAATATCATATGTTTTCTGTGGATTCAGGTCAAGTCTATGTAATTGCAGGTTCCCTCCTGTGAGAAGCCCTTACTCTATGGAATCATAATTGATCGCCCACTACCAGCTACGAAATCTGCATATCATCTAACAAATAAACCCTCTAATTTTGGGTAATGATCTTGAAGCCATGGCAACAGAAGAGAGATTTTTATATGAATAACAAAGAACAGTGTCTGAGTGATGTAAAGTGGGCAGGGAAGACAACAGAAAGATACCAAGAGGGCGAGAGAGTAAATGAGCAAGAAACTGACTCACCTTTTTGTTTTCATCATCTTGACAGTTTATCTTTTGAGGGTCCAGATTGACAAAACACAGATAAAGGTATAACATCAGAGAAACAACAGAGACACCGAAACATCTAACAAAAAACTGTACACTCATTGCCTAAAAGGATATATCTTTGACCCAAAATCCTCCTGACCTCCCATAAAGATACCCTTGCCATAGTGATCTAAATGTCCAGCAGCTGTCTGATGTTTCTGCATTACCACAGTTCGGGCAATGTCTCTGCAGGGCTTTCAGCCTTCAAGTTTCCTTCATCTCCCTGCCCCCTTCTACCTCGCACACCTTTGCCTCCGGCTGCAGGTTTAATGGTGTGTGATGGAGTATTTCTGTCAGTGCGGGGAGTTTGGGCCTCTAACGGCCGCTGTTTGAATTAGCAGCACAGACTCCTATGTGGGTCGGGGCGGCCAAGTTGAAATAAATAAAGAGCAGCTCCGACAACGTATGAGGATGGTGTGGAGGTGGTTATTATTCAAGCAGCCATTTTCAGTATGCATTTACAAAGTACTGTGACATGCTGAAGGAAGAAAGATATTTATGTCTTAGTCATAAACAAATGTACTTCCAGTATCCAGTAAGTACTTGGTTGTAATTGAAGATCAAACCTTGTCTTACAGTCGCAAAAATGGGTCTTTATACAAAGACATACAAATAGGTCTTTGTATAAAGACCTATTTGTATGTCCTGTATGTATCTTTATACAAATATACATACAGGAGGGATCAAGCTTTTTCTTTTTTGTTTTCTTTATTGGCTATATGTATCTACTGCTACATACACTCTTGACTGAAACATCTAAAAAATACATAGAAACTGAAAATATCAAACACATAGCTGAAAAATGCTAGAGCTACCCTGAAGGGACAGCATGTGTGGGCTTTACTATATTTTTTTACATGCTTTTCATTTTTTCATTAATATTTGTGTTGTAGTAGATGAGACATATCCCCAGAAGGCTGTGTCAAGACGTCACAGAAGATCCAGCATCAAGGCCCTATGTACCTTATTGCTTCTCTAAAAATTTTATTAAATCTGTTTTGTAAAATTTGCTGTAAAATTGTAATATTATTGTTAAATATTGTAAAAAATGTTAACTAGTATTACCTGAAAACTTTCTTAGTTTTTTTTTTAATGCTTAGGTAGGGGTATAGTGGAGGATGTTCATCAAAATAAGTGGTCCTCATGTTTATGTGAGGCCGTCCTAGCCCCATCACCATTTTACCGGTGGTGAGTGACTGACATAGTGGAAAAACAGAAAATCTTCCTTTGGAAATTAAGCTTGTATGAGCGATGCAAACAGCAACTTTTAAACAGAGGATGCACGAGGAGATATGTGCTCATGCATGCTCTCGCTCACGTTTAATAGGCGTTCCATGTCGGGAGTGGGTAAAGAATTGTGCATTTGCATATAATCTAAAAGTTGAGAGGGCGAGTTTCTTCAAAAATTCAAATATCCTTCACTATACCTTTAACACAATAATTAAGAGTAAGTCCATGCAACTGGTCAGTTATTATACAGCCAGCAGAGTTTTTATCAATGGGTTGGAATTTTATGACCTGCTAGATATTATAATAATGGACACACTGAAATGACAACAGCTGGACCAGAGTGTGCAGAAGTGCAATACTTATTATCAGTATTGCAGCTGTACAGCTAAAAAGGTCATATTTTGGATGGCATTCACAGATCATTTAAATTACCATGATCACATACTCCCATCTTGCCAGATAATAAATAACATTTTGTTGAGAAGGAAAAGACTAGATTTTAGCATTATTTTTGAGAAATTCAACAATCCTCATTATTTTATTTTCATATAAGATTGTCCCATTAGTGTTGAAGTGCCGTATCCATGGTATTAATTCTGAACATAGTTAAGACAGAACATAGGTTTGCTTTACTCTAAACTACTACTACTACTCTAACTCTGCAAGACACTCCTAAAAGGAAGACGCTTTCTAAGGAATTATGAGGCCCCCTCTAGTAATTGTTTTAAAGTTTTGATCTCCAAACCTCTCTTCCTCTTGCCTGTGGAACTCTCCCAAAGATAGCCACATTGGGGGATATTAATGAGAGGTTTGAAACCAGAGGCAACCAGGCTAAATGGACCAGATTCTTCAAACCCAGAGTTTGAGGTTTTGAGAGTTTGAGATTGTCTCCACCTGCTTCAAGGTGGAGACAATCTGCAACTTTCTCTCAGTCATTTCAAGGTTGTAAACATTAATATGACATTATAATTTATATGCTTTCCGATAGTTCATTAGATTTTATTGCTAAAGCATGACTTACTAGTCCTTTAAAACCATCTCGTGTCTGCTGGCTAATGCTCCAATGTATTGATAAAAAAAAAAAAAACTAGCTAAACAAAGCTAAAAACCCAGGCATAAGGGTTTCTACTTTTTCTTATTTCTTTTGGAACAACCATATTAGGTTAAAATCAATTATCTAAATGGTTATTGACTTCTGATTACTGTAGGCAAATCATTAAATCAAATCCCTCTTGTATCATGAATTGGTTTAAACACATTCCAATTGCTCTCAGTTTTATCTCTTCAAGATAAACATTTGTTATCAAACATGAAAATATGCTGAACTATGATATCAATGCATCGTTTTATTGCAAATCGCTTTCAGACATTTTCATTTGCCTTTTTCTTCTGTGTGCACAACAACTATTTAGTTTTAACTAAGTTCCACTAGCTTAGTTCAGAGTTAATAACTGAAATATATCTGAACTGGGGTTTAATAATTTTTGAACAGCAAATTCTTATATTTTGAAAAGGAATTGTGAATTTGTTCCATATGCATAATAAATTAACTTTTTCGCCATGATGTGAGCTTGAATCTCATAAGCCAGACAATAGTTATTGTCACATGCATGTCAGAGCAGAAATGTGAAATTATACAAAGGGTCTAGTGCTCATTTATTTTACACCTTTTAATTGCAACTAAGAGCCAGGATACACTTCATGTGATTCTATTGGTAGATATAAACAATAAACAAGTTGCTTAAGTTACTGCTTGAATAGCACCCATAAAGCCACGCTGCATTGCAGAGCAGCATCTACTTCTCCACCAAAACTGAGGGGTGTGCGCATGTGATGCAAAGTAGAGAGAATTAAACAAAATTTTCGTAACTTTTGTGTTAATTGTGAGATGTTTTCTTTGAATTAATTATGTATTCAAAATGTTCAAGAGCAACTATAGACTAGTCATTTAAAAGGATGGCTAACAGCACAAATAGTCATTCCCATCCTTGATTATTGAAGTGAATCGAACTGAAGAAAGGTCTAACAGTATGTAACATACTCCAACTTTAAATGACAGTTCTACATTTCTGATTATGGGGGACTTTAAGTTTTCAAATATTCTTTAATTCTCTTATTTTTGTTCTTTACTTATAGGTTCATTATTGAATAAGTAGTTTAGTAGTAATGTAAAAAAAACACACATTTCTATTAATGCACTCAATATTTAATAAAGCTTTAAAATAGATTGTCAAAATATTTTGTGCTTTTTTTTTAGAATTTAGCACACTAAAATGTGTGGTAAACACAGGTATATAAGAAAATGGCCATGTATTGAATAATTATTAATCAATAAGAATAGATCAACCCTAGATTAACTGATAAACTGATACCCTAGTTGATCATTCAAGTTCCTACTAACCTTTCAAAGACCTTATAACCACTTCAAAAAACAAAGCCACCAGCTGACAATCAGATTGTGAAGATCGCTCATAAAAGTTCCTCAAGATTTCATTAAACTTCTACAGGTTATGGATCAAAATAAAGGTGATAGTTTGACTTATTGTATCCTTCGAATGAGAATAAAAAATCCAGTCATTTAAGAAAGAGCAGCCTGTAAAGTGAAGAAAGCAGCGTGCAACTGGTATTTTCTATTCAAACTTAACTATTAAAGGATAATGTTGTAGGAGTTGCTTTTTAAAAATCGACTAAGTTTTGTATAAAAGTGATTCACAGCTAACAATCCACAAAGACCTTTCTATCTCACCCTGAAAACATTGGGATTTTTTGCCCTGTGCCCTTCAGTGAGTGGATGTGTCACCTCTGGCTTTTTGTTACCTCCCACTTACAAAAATAATAACAGCAATCGACTCACTGAGCAGTAAAAATAGTTTCCTCATTGGGTCTCCATTATTCAATGTCAGATTGCTGAGCACAATGAGGACCTTTTTGTCAGCATAGCCTTGAAATGTCAACAACATTCACACAATGGATAGGAATTAGATCACAAAATGTACTGCAAACATAGACTACCACCTGGTATTACCATTTGCTAACTGTTGCAAGATAAAGGAAAAGGTGTCAGCTTTAAAAAAAAATTAATATATATATATATATATATATGACAGTGATAGATTTCAACTAACACTCTAAATAACTCCTTTCCAAGAAATATGCAGGGTGTTTGTACTTAAGCATCTGCTCAGTTTTTACATGCTCTGATACTGGAAATCCTCCATGAGAAAGCAGCAACACCTCCTTTTGCCTGCCAACACGTAACCTGCACTCAACATGCAGGCAAAGCAAATCGAGTGATCCCACTGACCTTGAAAAGGGTTGAAGCAATTTAACCCCATCAGACAGTGAGAGCCGAGAGGCAGCCGTTCTAAATTTGGGAGACGGAAGACTATCTAGGCATCTAATGGCGACACACGCCTTGGGACTTGCACTGATTCCATCGGTTTTTCAGACACATTAGACGATAAACACACACATGACCCTGCATGCGAAGGTCTGACCATATAAACATCAGCTGGGGAAGATAAAGTGTGGACACGAAAAAAACAAAGGGTCAACATACTTGTCTCATGATATAGATAAAATCCTGTGGTAGTGGATAAATGGGGGTGGGGGGCATGGGTTGTTGTCCACTGGCCTTTGGCAAAAGCAAAATTATTTGGGTCTTTAAATAAAGCAAAAAATGTTCCCCCCAAACACTTACTAACACCTTGTAAAATAGCTTTAAATGGAATCAATCTGGCATTGCATCAATCCAGCATATTAATATGATACATATTAATATGATACATTACTAAACCAATATGAACT